CTGCTATAATGGCTAGAACATTTTTATCTATTAATGTATTTCAATTTGTATTTATGTGGAAATATAAATTAGTGTATCTTATGCCACAGATGAAGTAAGAAGAAAAGATTGCTGCCTTTTAAAAGGGAACTCCTAATTGTTATCATTCTCTAGTAATCATATATGCATATATTATGTGTATGTGTGTATATATATATGAGAGTTTCAAACTAATCTTTTCACTTAAGTAAGGAACAGTTGCCTTATTACTAGTTGTCTATCATTAATACTATTTCAAAACTCTGCAAAAAGACTGATGCTGGGTAACAATAGCCTACTTTAATGGATTTAATTAGATTAAATTTATCCTTTGCAAATGGGAATGATTGGTTCCATGCAGTAAGAAGGGAAACACCTTTATTTTGGCAATGGTTTAGAGTCTTTTCTTTATCAAATTGAAATGATTAAAGTAGATTTATTTTGTAAACAATACACCATGTCCCTCATCTTTACAGATAAGAGAACCAGAGGTTGCAGTGTGAAGGATTTAGGACAGGGATGAGGAGGCAGGTCCCAATCTGCAAGTTAATCATAGTGCCACATGGACTGATGAATTAGCAGGCCAATGATAGGTTTATATACAAAAGTCATTTTCTGTCCTAAAAACCTCAGTTTCATGGGAACATAATGCATATAGGTTCTATGAAATCATTATCTACAACACAATCATCACATAATTGAAGATCTGTCCTATTTTTTGAGAGAAGAAATTATCAAAATGTGAAATTCTAAAAATAGTAGTTTCTAATTGAAAGCCTAATTCTTTCTTAATTATAGGTGGGCTACAGTGGCACTATAATTAGAATGATCAGCAACTCCAAAATGATTCAGGTGTTATCATTCACTCTGTATAAGTAATGTGCATGGGTTCTATAAGCAGAAAACCGCAGAACATGAAGTTGCCAATTTATTTTCCTCACTTATCTTGATAGTTGCCCTCCCTTTACTTTCTCCTTCCAGCCAAACAAAATAAATGTTTTATTAATGTTTAAATAAATGTTTTATTAATTGACAGATTGTCATTGAAGAAAAGTACATGTACAATTAGAAAATTTGCAACTTCAACTGAACCTCTAAAACTATTATTCTCACTGATTTCATTAAAGTAATATTAGTACAACCTACTTTATTATTATTTACCTGAAATCTGAAAGTAATTTAGGCTTTCACTTGAACAACTAATATCACTTTTGTATGAAAAAGGTCCCTATAAACTACAAAATATTCATCTCATAATTGCATATAAGGTGGTTTCATTTCAACAAAGATTTTATGAAATCATTCATTAATATTGAGATAATAGACTAAGAGCTCAGAATTCTGAATTTGATATTTGAAATGTACATTAACTTCTAAATTTTCATAAGTTGTTTTTCATTCTTGAGTTATTTAAAATTTAGACAATGATCTAGGTGCTCTGACCAGTTTCTCCAATGCTAACTAATCCAAAGCTCTTCATTAGATTAAAAAAAAATGGTTGATATAATAAACACAGCAATAGACCTTTAAACAGTAATATATGTAATAATAATCCATAAAATTGTAAAAGAGGATACAAAGGAAAACAGCTATCAATAAAATCAAAGTAAGTCATATTAGGAAGAATAAGATAAATGTTAGAGCTTTGAAGATTAGCCGATGATACCAAGTACGTGGGCACACTCCTATAATCTCAGTATTTTAGCTGTAGTACAGCTAAAAAACTGCAGTATACCTTAGGATTAAAAAAAAATACCAATGAATATCAAATATGTTTGTTTCCAAAATGTCTCCAAATTGTCTTCATCTTGTTTATACACTGTACATAACAGTCTGTGAATAGAAAGTTTGTGCTCAAAAGGAAATATTGATGGATGCTGCCAGAAAACCACAGTACCACAATCAATATTTGGGGTGTCAGAAACAAAAATAAGATTTTTCTATCATCATCATAACACCCAAATATGAAATATTAATATAGAAAGAAAAGTTGTTCAAAATTATTTACAAACTACGAACACTTTTTTATTTAATCCCCCTTAGAGAAATAAGTCTTTTGTATACATATTTTTTCAAATCTCAACCATGTCATATATTTCAACAAAATAATATGATGAAGCCTTATTCTATTTAGTAATATGTGCTGCTATATAACTTTTGCTTATTGACACAAACACAATAAATAATGTAGCTTATGAGTATTTTTGAGCTCACATTCTTCTTTCTTTAAATAAGAAGAAGCTGGCTATAATGTTATATGTACTGAGACTTAGCCTAGGTCATTTTATCACCAGTTCTTTTGGAGCTATGCTGAGAGGAACTGTGGGGACCTGCTTGTATTTCAGTCATTACTGACACTCTAGCATTACATAAGCAAGCATGGATGTGACCAAGAACAGACCAAAGGAGTAGTGAAATAAATTCAGATATCTTGCTTTACAAGGAAAAAGAGTGCAAGTAAAGAATTCAGGTTAGTAGTAAAATATCTCAGCATATTTACTAGCTGCCTAAATTTGTCAAGTCCCTCAAATTAGCTTCAGTTTAAAAATGCATCAAATTCCAACAAAAATCATCGCCCTGTTTTCTGTTGCTATAACAAGTTACCTGAGGTTGGATTTTTATTTTGAACAAAACTGTTAACAAGTTCAGAGTTTTGGAAGTTGAAAGTCCAAGACAGGGAAGCACCATCTGTCTGGTTTCTGGGGACAGCCTACTTAGCTGTGATCCAACATAGTGGTGAGAAGGGAATAAAAATGGTCACATGCAAAAGAGACCAAGTGCATGGGATAGCCTCACATTATAACAATCCACTATCACAAGAACTAACCAGAATCCCATGAGATATACATTAATTCCTTCCAAAGACTGTGCCACAAATGACCTAATCATCTTCTGCTAGGTCCTGCCCTTAAAGGTTCTCCTACCTTTCAACATCTTCAGACTGTGGATCAAACTTCTAGCACATGAATCTTTTGGAGGCAACTTAAACCATCCAAATCATAGCAACTTTCAGACAGAAATATTTTAAGGCTTCAAAGCAATGAAGTGTAGGAAACTGCTTTGGGAACCTATGTCAATAGAAGTAGTCAGTTTTCCTAAATATACCCATTATTTCTCTATTACTGTAGGAAAGGTAAACACTATGACCTTATGAAAATTCCACAACTGCCTATTGCAAATTCAGTCTCCAAGGATTCGTGTGCTGAAACACAATAGTAGCAAATTTCTTTGTTCAGAGTTCTCTAGCTTTCTCTTCTTGTCTACTAGAGAATTTGAGAACATGGAGCATGAAATCCTGGCATCTTACTGATTAAGGCATGTTTCTCTGATGGACTGAGTTAAGATACACTGAAAAGCTCTGTAATGAGGATGGATAGTGGTTGAAAGTAGTCGGTACCATTGTTTCCACACAAGGTGTGATAAGTACCTCTCTCAACAGATGCCTACTCAAATGCAAGAGAGAGCATCTACAAACAATATACATAATTTTCTCAACAAAAGTACCACTCAGTAAACCAGGTCAGGTTCCTGTATCATTCACAGATCTCATTTACCTCAAAGAGTATCTTATTTTTCCAGGTAAGATAAAAGCAAATCATGTTGTGTATGACATATATTTCTAATGAAGAAACATTCAGTATTCTAATTTATTTTAAGAAATCTATTGTTACGATGAAATTAGAGCACTATGTTATATTGAAAGTATGCATACCTATATTGCATGTAGGTCCAACATCATTGCAGCTATTTGTCATTGAAGATTTGGGCATGGGGACTGGGGATTGAACTCAGGACTTCATGCACGTTAGGCAAGCACTCTACAGTTGAGCTGCACCCCAACCCTAACATGTAGGTCCAGAAGTGATCATAGACTATCATTAAGTAGCAAATTTGTATTACCATATTCATACTTAGATCCTCATTGAATCCAAAAAATCTTCTGGCAGATCATACTTCTCCACTTAAATTGAGGTACATAAGAAAGTACTAAGGTCTTACACTCTTCCTGAACCCAATTTCTAACTTTCTGTCATTATCTGTGGTTTTGCCCCCCGCACTTTTCCTTCCATCTTATGTATCTTCAGCCCAGCTGAAGTTATTTGGAAAAGACACCAGGAATAATTCAGGAGGAGATAGCCTGCAAATTACAATCTGCTGCTTCAGCATTTGGCCAACTGAAGGTCCCAATCCTAATTATGAAATAAATTGGCCATGATCTCACAACAACTCAGGTACATTCAAAGATGCTTGTGGATTATCAGAGATCATCACACATCATATACATTGGTTTGAGACAGAAATTAATCATCTGTATTTAAGCATTTCAACAGGATGAGTTCTTTTATGTAAATAATAGTAAAATGAAAGAAAATTATGCTAGCATGAAGCCCTGGTCTTTTCCTATAAACACAGGACCACTAACTGGAAGAAAAATATTAACCTACATCTAATAGACACATTATGATTGTGTGACCTATTTTAAAAGTAGAGGGCCTTTGTTAGCCTCTCCATGAAGTGGTTGCATGGAAAATTCAGAATATTCACTTAATAACATAGTCTGTTTTCTGACACAGAATTAGCATATTTGGTTTCAACGTGGGTCTTTCAAACATAAACTATGCAAGAGAGATTCATTTGTGTAAAATAAAACATAAAAGTATATCCTTGTTTAAAACACATTAACCATCTAAACTATATTTTGCTTCAGTTTTGTTCCAAAAGGACAATTAATTTTTATAAAACATTAAAATTTCATTGCAACATTGTGGTTCTCCAAAGGGGTTAAGAATCAACAAAGAAACAAAGCTAGGAAAGGGACAGGGAAGGGTCAGAGATACAGATAAATTCAAGAGCAAACAGAATGACAGAGAGGATTATCTTCACATAGCAACTTGGCATAGATCAGTGGGGAGGAGGTGACAAAATTTAAAGAGGTTAAATTTTAGGTACAAAATCAGAAGCCACAAAGCAGTGTCTCTTACCCTGAAAAACTCTTTAGTGGAGCCAGAGTCTAATGTTCCATAAGCAATTTCTGTTTGCTTAGAAAGATCCTCAGCACTTTCGATGGGAGACACCATCCTCTCTACAGTCAGGAAGGCAGCTAAGTTAGCCGTGTAGGAGGAGATTATGATCAGGGTAAAGAACCACCACACACCTCCAACAATGCGCCCAGAGAGGGATCTAATAACAAGTATGAAATGGATTTGTAAAGTGAAATGAATGACCTAATTAAAAAAAAACAAGTTAGCAGTAATATGCAAATATTGACTTATACAGGAATATTTCATTTTATACTTTTCCATATTTCTACTAGTTACTGAATTTAAAAATTACTAAATATTTTGGGCAAGGAATATAGATTGACTAAGTCTGATAACATACCCAGAGGACAAAACTTGAAAATGCTGGGATTCTCAAAGTTATAATGCCCAAATAGTTCATGGTATGAAATTCCATAATGAAGCAATTTTAAGAAAGGTACAAACAATTCATTAAATATCATAGTTCTTTATATACTCATGACATAAGTAAACATGAAGAAGAGAATCTTAGAAGATCAGCGAAACTCATAACAATGTTTACAAACAAAACTGAATTATTTTTTAAAATGAGAGTGTGCACCATGGATGTCACATTAAACTATGAAAAAATCCCTCCCTTGAATGCACCAGTGATGCTCCCATCCCTCAAAAAGGCCCAAAATTTAATTATATTTTATGTATGCAAAAATATAGGTATTTGATACAGCATAAAAGAGAAAATGGAAAAAAAATAATACCATAAACAAAGATATGACACAAAACATAATTCTCAAAGAATAAAAATCAGATGCCTTCAAGGTATGCACTGCCCTGTTCCTGTCTGTCTTCTGCTTAAGAAAAAAGGAAACTAAAAGAAAAAAAAATTAGATGTTTAAAAGTTTGTCAAATAAACTCCCACTGTGAAATATAACAAAATAGCAATATTTCTGTGACTATAAATTCTTACATACGATACTTTTTAAAAGCTTAATAGATTCCCATTAATTTACTTTAAAATTTGAACTAGATAAATATATATATGTCGATGCATAAAAAGAAATCCAACATATTATTTTACTATATGATGATATGGTATTCTACACATAATTAAAGAATTAGAGGAATATTAACAAACCAATAAACTAAATATTTTTCCTGTTCTCCGGTAACTCTGCTTTGTCAAAAGTTATGAGAGTGAAGTCTGTCAGACCTGCTAGAGTGAAGAGGATACAATTCTAAAAATGTAGTCACAAATATTTGGCACTTTATGGCCTTAAGGTTCTCATTAATCAATACTTAAAAATGCATCCCTTAGTAAAACAGATACTATATCAAATTGTTGGGTTATATTGGTAGCATACACCATTCAGTGAAAAAATTAAAAAAGAACCCAAAACTTTCTCTTCAAATTAGGTTGTCCCTGCCTTTGTTTTTTAGATGAAAACTCCTGTTGATTAAAATGAGAGAGAAATAGCAATGGAAAACAAAAATAATATAAGTGCCTTTACTACAAAATCTCTATGAGATGCAAAGAATTAAACAAATATGATAGCATAGAAAAAGTTACATCATTCTCACTTATGAAAAGGATATTAAGACTTATCATTGGAAAATTCTTCAGGCAGACACAACTACTCTCAGAGTGTTCACTATTTACCCTATGACATGAGAGGAATAAGCTACACAACAGGTAGCCTGTATTAAAGGTGGCAGATTCAGTGCCTGAAAACTTAATCCCTTCAAAGAAAAGCTGATCACTGGCTAATTGGTTTTGACTACCCACCGTACCCACCACATGCTAAATTAAATGTTTAGGAATAATTTTTATAAATCATTTTTTTCCTTTGAAAAAGTAAATATCACCAGTTGATTTCTATTTCAGTGTTTAAACCAGATTCAATGAGATTAAATATTTCCATTGATTTAAAATGTATAAGCTCAAAATATTATTGGACTTACAAGTCATTCAGAAGTGAAAAATACTTAAGTAATTTGTTATTTACTTTCAAAGGTTTTAAAGGTATCAATGACTGTTTCTAAATAGACAAAAATGATTTCTATAATTAAAAACAAAACATTTACTTCTCAGCATATGTACTAAAGAAGCAAATAAATATACATATACTATATTTTCTTTTAAATAATTGTTTTTAAAATAAAATATTTTTATATTTATTTAAATACTTTAGAAACATTGGGAGGAAGACCCAAAGTAAGCAGAAAAAATAGTTTTCATTTTTAGAAACTATATTCTTTGGAAAATTGTATCTTATAGTGAAGATATTGTAAAGTTAATTTCTGGCCAATGACCAAAACAATAAGTCTAATCAATCATTCTAGATTACAACTTAAATGTGTTCTACAGACATTAATAACATAGTTCCAAATCATATTTTAATTGGAAAGGAATGATAATTTTTTAAAAAATATTTAAAGAGCATTTCTTAGAATCACCTGTGCATTTCAAGCTTTTTCTAAAGACAGTCAGTCATCCACTCTACTCTTCTGACCTAGAGTAGTCATCATTGCATTCTAAAGCATCATAGTTTGCTTCTTTTTAAAAAAATCATTAAATTTTTCAACACTATATATTATGCTCACTTTTTAATGTCTATAGAACATAAAAATAAAGATAGGTACTTTTAAAATATCTATTTATTTATTTATTTATTGTAATACTGGGGATAGAACCCAGAATTTTATGCATGTCCAGCAAGCACTGTACTACTGATCACATCCCTAGCCTCAAATTTTAAATTTTTAATAAAATAAATTCTGCATATATATTTATATGCAAATAAATATATATACATATATTTCACGATTGATGAAAAATAAATCATGAAAATTGAAAAAAAAGCATGATAGCTAAATCTGTGTGTCTTACTAAGAAATAAAGATTTATCTGTGAAATTTCTCTGTGTGAAATTATATGAGTCATGATTTATGAATAAAATTTAAAAATCAGAAAAAAATAACCTATTTTGGGAGCAGGCATAATAAAAACGAGAAGTCATCTATATGTAGTAGAGGACCCTGCAATGTCAAACACTGTTAAATGTGTCTTGTACCCCAGTCACTATGTGCAAATAGGGTTTCTATTCCTACAAGCTCAGGACACATGACACAATTGATGGTGAGTAGGGCAAACAGAACTAAAGACCCATTCATGAGAACTCAGACAATGCATCCTACTTCATGATGCACCCCATGCACTTCTCCTACACAACCAAAATACAGAGCATAATTTATATCACTTTAGGATAATTGCCTTACATCTCAAATCAGGGTAACATACTTCAGTGGCCTTCTTATCAAAGGTAAGTCATTTATTATTTTATGGACCAGAATGTTCCCTGAGACCTCAATATGATCCCCTTTCCCTCAATATTAGGATCTTCTCTTTGTACCTTTAACTTCAATCAGATAAACTAAATATAGAGATGAAGCTGTGAATCTTCTATGTTCTGCTAGAGATGAAACATATACCAAAGATATACATACAGTCCCTCCACATGTACACATGTCACGCCATGCAAATATCATTGGCATTATTTCTAATTCTACGCAGTTTGGCAGAAAAGCCCCAGGGAATACGATGGACCTAAGCTTTTTTAAATATATATTTCTAAACAAATACTATTTTTTAAAAAATCACTACCACCAGAATTCTTATCAGAGAAGTAAATCATTGATAATTTCTGCCCACATGGCATATTTTCCTTACCTTGTGTTGTGGAACATGCTGAAAAAATCATAAAAGGTATATAGTTTTGAGCTTTTCATATAGTTTTTGAAATTAATGACTGATAATTTAGGAAAGTGCTCAAAATACAACAACTTAATGAATTAATATCAGAAAATTCACCTCCTTCACTACATAAAGCATCCCTTAGAATCAAAGAAGGGTAATTCAGCCCGAAAAAAAATGTTCCAGTAGACTGTGAGCCATTTGGCTTTCAATGCTAAAGTTCACACACTAGAGAAAACATGATTTATTCCTCTGAAGAGCCACATATGGTTATCATTCTCACTCACATATATAAGGTAAAAATAATCGATGCTTTGTGACAGATTTACTATAATTAGGCATTCCAGTATAGGGATTAACACATCCTAATGATACTAGAGAATGAGTTTATTGCATGGTGTGTGTGTACTACCATTCAACATGACACAAGCTTTGTAGTGAATAATTAATCCTCTCTACGTATTCTATGTATTTCCAGATACTCATAAACTGTGATCATCTCTTTAATCCAGCCAGCAAACCTCAAAAAAAAAAAAAAAGAAAGAAAAAGAAAACTTGTATAATGTCTTTTTTACAGCATTTCCATGAGCCAATGTTAGGAAAATAAAAGAAATGGGATGTGTGTGAACAAATTTTTTTCCAACAAGTTTTGTTGTTGTTGTTGTTGTTGTTGTTAATAAATTAAATTGCCCATTTTCCCATATACAGGTCTGTGAATCAACACACAGATGACTGTAAAATGAGAATATGCAGCAAAAACACGGTACCCCTCCAAGAAGGCATGGAATGATAGAAACCTTATGCATTTTATAGCCTCTCCATGGTGTGTATAATTTCACCAGGGAAATACATGATCAACATTCAAAGAACATTGTTCAAATATTTCACAGGCTTACGCCGATGGTCAAAGTTTGTCCTTCAAAGTCTTAATTTGCTTGGACAAGCAGTCGGCAGCTGGTAACTTCTTTAGAGTGAATTCATAAACACCATGAATATGCACTGGAGACCTAAAATGCACAAAGTTGAAGCAGGTGAGTAACCAACCTTGGCGAAATATCGCATCCTTGCTGCATAAAGGCACCCAAGGAAAACCAGAGACTATTAAAAATCCCAAATTCATTAGTTGATTCACTAGTTTGTGTTTCTCTTCCATCTTCAAATTCCTCAGTGTGCCACTCGTAGGGGCTAAATCTGCTGACCAGGAATAAAACTACACTGACCCCAATGTAGGCAAAAACAATGCACATCCAGATCTCATAGGCTAAAGGATCAAGAAATGAAAACACTCCTGGTTTGGACTTCTGAGGCTTCTTGATCATGATAGATATCCCCAGGCTCATGAAGGGCTTTGAGAAGTCGATCACCTCTTCTCTCACAAGGGTAATAGTTAATGGAGCAATTGCAATATCCGCTTTCTGTAAGGGAAACAAAGGAGAGGAGGAACTGGAATTACAGTCAAAAACAAATCATGGTTACATGATTGGATGCAAGGGGAAGGAAACGAATCAGAAAAAATGGCAACAATTATTTCCCAGGAAAATGCCAGTACAGAATAAACAGGAAAGCAATTTGTTGGCCAAACATCTTCCCTCTCCATAAATAAATAGGATACCTATCTGTCTTGACCATAATTATACATCTATACTGTATCTATGTCTTTGCAACCTTTATAATACATATGGCCCATACACTTCAAGACAAGATGGCATGCCTACAGCAGCTATCTGCATGTTTACTTCTGGATTCAGTCTCAATCATTCACATGTCCACAAGGAAATAAGATCATATCTCTAGAGTAATGTGGGACACCAGCAATCTCAGATACAGACACTTGGAAGGGAGGGGAGGCCATTCCGTCGCAACAGTTCAAATTAAATAGCTTTATAAGGAGAGCCATACTTACCCCATATACAAGTTCTCCAACCATCCCATTCCAAATTTTCGTGTCTGCATCCCTGGCCCCATACTTGCCATCCCCAACAATGGTCAACTTGTACTTGAACCCACAATGTTTTGCAATTTCTGCAGCCAAGTCGACACAATAGCCCTCATAGCGTTCATTGCCTTCAAGCATTTCATGATTTTTCTTCATCATTACATACGGAGATTCCTATATAGAAAGACCACACTTTAGCTGATTAAAATGGCTAAGTTAATAATGTACTCTTTTTGAATCAGACTTCCATGTTTAATAATAACCTGTTTGCCAAAGATAATGTAGAACATAGATGGTGTACAACATTAGCGGGGAAAAGAGAATCATAATGTTTCTGGAACAAAAGTCCTCAAATATCTGTCATTATATTTCATTAAGATTACTTGTACCCATGGCACATGCCCATAATTTCAGGAACTCATGATGGGAGGCTGAAGCAAGAAGATCACAAGGTAGAAGCGCCAGCCTCAGCAACTTAATGAGACCCTGTCTCAAAAAAAAAAAAAAAAAAAAAAAGGACAGGGATGTAACTCAGTGGTAGAGCAACCATGGATACAATCCTTGGTACCAGAAAAAGACAGATCAGGGAGGGGAAGGAAGAAAGAAAGGGAGGGAGAAAGGGAGGAAGGGAAAAAAACTTTTACCTAACCATATCAGAATTAACAAAGTACTCGAAATCACAAAATGATAGCATATCCCCTTCTGTTTATAATACCTGGAGCTGAGAGATGAAAATGCCGCTCAACATCTATATTATTCAACTTTGGTCTACCACACTCTTGCTCTTGGCTAAATTTGCACTGACCACAAGAACAGCATCCACTCAAAGTCTTGTGTCCTTGCTGCCCCAAGGAGTTCTCATATGGAAATCAGATCCATCTGTGTATCCTTCCATACACAGACTCAAAGATTCACAACCATGGTAATATGCTGATTCTACGCTTCAGGTTTCAGCTCTCACTTCTGCTATGATATAAAATCCTAAGATGATGGCGCAAGGATAGCTGGAGAGTAGCTCCCTGCTCCGAACTTCAGAGGAAGCATGGAAAAATGCTTCTGCATCATCTAATGTTCTTCAATGGAACAGTCACCAAGGATATTTGAGGTCTCAATGCAATAGCTCTTCTCAATGACATGATGAAGGTGAGAATCCTCAAATGTCTAACTCACCTTTACTGAGTAAGAGACTTCCAAGCTTCTACTGAGGTTTTTACTCAAATATCTTATTAGCCTTTCTACATTTGCATCTCTTATTGCTGGGATAAGGAATCCCACAAACCTATTACATCCGTGCTAAAGTGAAATAAAACACAAATGTTTGTCACAAAATCATGTTCTATAATGAACTCCATTTTCTCAACTTCACCAATAGCTTGTCATCATGATCCACATTTCCCTTTCATCTATTCAGAACCCAGATCATTCAAGATTCAATTCAATTTTGCCTCATTTATTAAATATGCATTTATTTTATACTGTGCATGAACCAACCACTGTGTACAAATTAAGGGTAAAAAGAATGGATATCATCCTTGTTTTTTAAGAATTTCATCTTTTATTATGAAAAAAAGAAGCCAAAAACATTATTAATTCATTTAACAAATGAAATACAGAGTTTACCCAGAGTTAGGTGGGAATGGCAAGGCAAAACATCTGAGGAAATATGACGACCCTCTTAGTCTTTGCCCCGTTGTTTGGGTGTGCAATAGAGTATGAACTATCTGTCAGACTATTTCAGACTTGAATGGAACAGAGAACAGTGTGAATGGTTCTGCAAGGGTATATGTTGTTCTTTTGACAAAGAAAAGTGCAATAAACGATCATAACATTGCAAAAGCAGCTCTGTATTAGTTATTGCCCTAAAACATAAACAGCAACTGTCCTTGGAAGATATTTTTCATCAGAAAAAGGAAAGTCCAACATAGGCAAATGCAGCTAATTACCAAAATTGTGGTGACAACAACAGTCTTATTCTCGAGCCCAGAGGTGTCATTTCCAGAGGGGAGCTCAGTCAGGGTAACAACCATTTTGTCCACTTCACTCCAGTATCCAATCTGAAAAAGGTCACAGCATGGATAAATGACCTTTCTGTTACCAACGTATTTAATTATTTTTAATCCCAAGTCTAAGTCCAAAATTACACTCACATTAACTGAGCTTCGTCTAAATTAAAGAATGTGTACATGTAATCAAACTACCAAGGAACTAGCAAAATGCAATTCTTAAAATGGGCCTGTTTCTTCATATTCACTTTTCATATTCTCTTAGTAGTTCTGGAGTGGACTTACAGAAATATAAATAAATACCAAACTGATATTTTAACCATGAGAGTTAAAAGAAAGATGTTAAATTGAAGTTAATCCATATTTGCAGTCACTATTTTTTGGCTTCTGAATACTAAACATTCAGTAACAGTTTCTCTCTCTCTCTCTCTCTCTCTCTCTCTTCTCTCTCTCTCTCCCTCTCTCTCTCTCTCTCTCTCTCTCTCTCTCTCTCTCTCCTCTCCAAAAATTCTTTTTTAAAAAATTTTTTCACCTATAGTCTGAAAACAAAAGTATAACAGTTTTACTTGCTAGTGGTTTTTAAATTACATTTCAAAATTACTTACCAGAAAAGAACAGATTAGATTCAGAAAAAAAATTTCAATAATATATATGTTTTTAGAAGTCACTAAATTCTACATGAACCTTCTCCAGGATGTTTTTGGAAGTGTGCAATGATAATTAGCTAACTCACCTCTTCACAGAGAGACACCTGCCTTTAAATCTCTAAAGATTTACCTTCCGGGGCCCATTAGTTTTGAGCTCCATGATGTTTATCGTGTAGTTTATTCTTTTTCCATTCTGGTCAAACTTTATATTTCCTGAGAGACCTTCAACCTGAACCTAATGAGGAAATGGAAAAGAAGCAGAGTTATATATTTACTTCACTAAAAGATACAAACTGTACAGGTAATTCTTACTGGGCTCCAGTGAAGAAAAGTTCATTAATAGGATTTCTTTCAGTCTTCAACCTATCTTTGTGTTGTTAGGAAATAATAATGCCTGTATATTAAACATGAGAATAAAGCAAAATAAAAATGAATGCCATGTTAAAATCGTAACTCTCATTTTCAGAGACTGACCTGTTTGAGGGCCCTTTCTATTTCCACACCTTGTCCCCAGGGGACTGCTGGATTTGCCAGACAGTCTCCTGCATTTCCTCTTCGGGAGATCTCGATTCTCTGCTTCCGTAGGTTGCGGAAAGCTTCGGTCATCACTTGAACAGCATCATAGGTCAGGGCAGAAGTATACTGAAAAGGGTCACATACATGTTATCAGAATGAGAGAGAGAAACACTGGACACTCGTTGCACAGTGGCAAACCAAAGAGCAGTTGGCCACCATACAATTCAGAGAACTTATAACAAAATCCAAGATTTAAGCACAATTTCCACATCTACAACCCTGAGGATCCAAGAATGTGGTATGGAACACAGGGACTACAGCATGTGCTTTTGACTGTGAACATTTTCTGTTACCTTAATATATGTACTATTTCAGGTAAGACCTTTTCATAATAATTATTTTGATGTCATTTTTCTTACTGGTTTCTCAGTAAAGCATCACTTTTATGGCCAGGTATGAAGATACCCAAAACTATCAAAGTAACAAAGAAACACGTATTTACTATCTAGTAAGAGAAATGTAGAAAGATAGAGATTAATTTCAGGACCCTCAGTCTCAGATTCAACCCTGGTGATACTCCCGAATTACTGCAGTGGTCTTAGGAGTGTTGTTTAAGTTCTCTTGAATGATTCTGGTCACAGAATAGACTAAAAATTGACCAAACTTCATGATTTCAATACCCTCTTTGTGCTTTTATAGTCTGTGATAACACTGACTCCAAACTTTCAATGTTGAGAGTTCTGTGGGACAGCAGAGTTATCTCAGGAGCTGGAGCCAAGTAGAAAAATACTATATGAATACCTTATAGAACATGGAGATTAGAAGCCACCAGACTAATTTCTCCCTTATTTTTCAACCATAAGACTATTAAGCTACCAGTGCTGTTCCTCTCTTGGGATGACAGTGCATGAGATGGCCACGCTCCTTCTCAGGAAGATCCCTATAACAATGCCCTAACCCCATCTCTGCAATTTCCTGAAGACATTATTTCTGCAGCCACACCGTCAAGAGCCTTCAGTAGCCCCCTTTCTCTATTAGATCATCTCTATTAGAAACAAAACTGCTCTAATATCTCCTATCAGAGGCATAGGAATAGATGTGAAAGAGAGAAAGAAAAACAAACTGATTCTCATCATTAAATCCACATGTCCCTCCAATGTCTACCCCATTTTTCTGCTCCACCATGGACAAACTCTTTGAAACTTTCTAAATTTGCTATTCCCCCATATCAACCCTTTTTGCCCTAAGTGCTCACCTTTGGTCCATAACTTTAAGTGCCATCCATTTTCTGAGCATTACTTCCTGCATGTAACCCTTCCTGCCCAGGCCTCTCCCAGTTACTCTCTTCACATGAAAATATTTGTTTTCGGTCATCTCATACACTGTCATCCCAAGAGAGGACGGTAGGGTGAGAATATCATTTATCTAATCTTTGCAAATGAGTCTTTACCAGTATCTTAGCATCTTGCTTATATACTTCATATTTGTTTACTTCGTCTCTCTTCCTCACAAGAATATTATTCCAGGGAAATCTAGACCTCCTCTATTACCACTGAATTCTCAGAAACTAAGGCAGGGCTGGGAACACTGTAAAGACTAAAAGGGAGCAAAGGAAAGAAGGAAGAGGGGGAGCCAATAAAGGAAGAGGGGAGAGAGGAATTCAAGGTAGGAGAGAAGGCAAGTGGTGTGAAGGAAGGAAAAGATCTTGGTATGGAACCTGTCCTCATGAGACGCACATTCTCTCCCACTCCAGTGAAAAGATATAAATAGATCATTGCACCTCATTGTAATATTTTAAGTTGTTTCCATGGTGGATAGGTATGTATTCTTTCTTTTAATATGAAATATTTTTCAAAAAGGCAAATAAGAAAATAGTTTATTGGTATTACTTATCTCCTCCATGCAGCCTGAAATCCTAGAAGCCTTCATTTTATTTTTATGCCAGAATGGTAGGGTGAGAATATCATTTATCTAATCTCTGCAAATGAGTCTGTTCAGTTGAATTGCTTTCATTTTACCACATAAATGACATAAGTGAACAAATTTGGTGGGGGAGTTAAGAAGGAGAAAAAATAAAAAGACAAAATTAGTCTGCGGCCACAGTGCACTATGAATGAATATGAGTGTTGCAAACATAATAAGATATTCATATTTACATGTAAAAAAAAAATCTTCTTTTTGTTTTCTCGCTGCTCCCCCTGGGATTGAACCCAGGACCTCACACATGCTAAGCAGATGCTCCACCGCTGAACTACATCCCCAGCCTCACTTGTAAATTTCCTTCTAAAATTTTTTCTCAAATGCCATCTGTTAAAATTTCTTCTCATGGGCTTCAGTGTCCCATAGGTGCAATGTCTCTTCTCACTCCCTTGGGTTTCTAAAGAATCTATAGATATCTCCTGAATGGTCACACTTCACACTTGTGTTTCCTACTCTTGCCTCAAACTAAACAGATCTAAATGAAACCCATTCTCAATTTTTGCAAAATCTGCAATTGTTACCTTTAAAAGTTATAGGTATTAGGCAAATTGTAACATGTGAGAGAAGCCACTTGGCCAACTTATGCTAACTGGAAAAAATATGCTAACTCCAAAAAATATTCCGAAAAACAGTGAATTTTTATAGAAAGATTATTAACTTTGGTGTTGTTTGTAGCATGAAAAATATTAGAAACAACGTAAATTTCTGAAAACAGGGAAATATGTAAGACACTACATTTTCTGCCATGGGAAGTATTTTGTAGCTATTACAAAATGATACTAATAGAAGACAAACCAGTATAGAGTAGAGAAAGGAAAATAAAGGAGGAAGGTGGGGAATAAAAGAGAAAGCACTGGGGACTAAAGTTGAGCAAATTATCCCTCAGGCATGTATGACTGTGTCTAAATAAACCCCATTGTTACATGTAACTATAGTGCACTAATAAAAAATTTTAAAGTCATACTAAGAAAGGTTATGTAACAAAACAATTAATGCTTTCAATGAAATCAGTGATAAATATTACTATTACATCTCAATTGAAAAAGTCAAAAATCAAACAAGAAGATTAATAAGAAATGGATCCTTTCCAAAAAAAAGAAGGGTGGTTATAATATTAGGGAGGAAACATAGATAATTACATTTCTTTTCCAAATATCCTACAATATCTATGTATCATTTTTAAAAAATTAGATTATATTCCCATTGCTTCATATCTTGTCTACTTAAGGAAAGACCTTTGAAGCAAATAAGAAATGTCACAGCAAGGTATATCTGCCTCAATTGTGTGTCTGTTTCTATTTTCCTACATGGAAAAGCATTGATGAATTTGCTTTCTTATGTAGCATTCAGTTCATTGCCAACTTAACTCTTAAAATAACGTCCAGGTCTCTGGATAGGAAATGGAGCCTAAATTGAATAAATTGGATGTTAAAAATATTGCAATTTATATTGAAATTATGATAATAGCTAAAAGCCAAAATCTTCATTGAGTCAGCTTGCTCACATTACTAGGAGAAATCTGTAAAGCCATCTACTAAATGTATTAGTGGTCTATAAATGTTGGTGAACTACATTAAAAAATAAGATTAGACCAAATGAACTAAAAGCACTTAGATCCATGCTGCATATTGCCATTATAACTCAGAGCCTGAGCACATTAGAAAGAAAAATCCTTTCAACCTTTTTCAAATGCTCAAATCTAATCATGTCTTAAGCTTATTATCATTTTAAATTAAAAGTCACAGTCACAGAAACACAATTCTGAGCTAAAAGAAAATCAGCTGGTTCTGCCTCCAGAGTTCCTTTTGGTTTATGTTCTGCATATATGGCTCATTGATTCCTCTAAACAAGTATGTTCACATTTTTGATTGGATAGTTAAATATTTCTGTTTTATTCGACCATCCGCTAAAGTAGATGTAAATTAATTTGAAGGGAACATGATGTCAGTGTAACTATTTCCTTCTTTGAAAACAAATGCTTCATCTCTGCCCTGATGTTTACACTCTGTGAAATCTCTGAGCTGAGCTGGAAATTTCAATAGGAGACCATTTCGCTTTGCAGTCCTATTTCATGAACACATCATCTCCACACTATCAGAAGAAATCTGGAAAATCATCTTTATAGTCCATTTTCCAAATGCTCTTTTTATTCCATTTTGAATGCATATTTATTGAAATGTACTGTTCAATATTAAGTAAAACATGCATTTTAAATCTGTTTATTTTGTCCAACAGTCATCAGACAAACCATTAATAACACATTACTATTACCACTGATACCAGAATCCATCATGCCTGACATCAAAAGCAGCAGGGGTAGGTATAGGTAAAGTTGTATGTTCATTTTGAACATAATGAATATAAAAAAGGATAGACAACAGCATAAAGTTTTATGGATTATCATCATGCTGGCATCTTTTCTAAACATACTATCCATCTCATGATCAAATAGAAAAAAGATATTCAAAAATAAAAGTACTGACCATTAAATAGTATCAAAGTGTTACAAAATGTCCTGTGAATAGCCACTTTCTAAATTTTCCATGAAACTCAAAATTTAGTTGAGTACAATTTAGAAAACATTGCATTTAGTACCAAAAGACAAGGAAGGCTCCATTCCAGATTTTACTATTTACTGCTCTGTTATCATTGGGCAAGTTAACAAGTATTAGTGTCTAAGGGTTCTTAGCCAAAAAAGGAGAACAAGGACCCTTTTATGCCATAGAAGTGTTGAAAAGAAAGATGAGGAAGAAGAATTTTGTTAACTCAGCTCTCCATGTGGCAAACCTCAGTAAGACCTTTTAAAACAATCCTATACCACAGTATTTTTATTCTGATTTTGTAGGTGTGAATTCCAAGTTATAAAGGTTTTGGGGGGGATTGAACCTAGCGGGTGTTTTATCCTGAGCAACACCCCAGCCCTTTTTAAAAATTTTTATTGTTTTTGTTTTGAGACAGGGCCTTACTAAATTACTGACACTGGCCTTGAATTTGTAATCCTCCTGCCTCAGCCTCCCAAGATGCTGGGATAACAGGAATGTGCCAATGTGCCCAGCTTAACATTGTATTTGATACCTGACCACAAAAATATGTGACAAAAGTGGAATTATAATTCAGATTCCTGTGTCCTTGAGTCACTGAGGGAA